TATATATATATATATATATATATATATAATATAAAATGGTTCTTCTGCTGTTTCACATTAACAGCAATGTGTTTGTGTCACATGTGTAATGCTGAACCTTCTGCAGTGCCGATGGTGATTTTCCATTACAATCTCTTGTTAAATAAAGTTTTACAGTGGAGGGAGCCATTATGAACATATGATGTTACCGTTATGGTAATAATAAAATTTCATCATTTGCATGTGGCTTATCTCAAAATATTACTGGAAGTAGACATATCAAATTAACTTAAAATAACTGTAGTTTGTTCAAAATATGTATTTATTTAAGAAAAACAAACTAATAATTTTGCACATAACCACACACCTGGCTGCCATGGTAATGTTGTTCTAAGCTTTACAATTAAATATGCTAGCAGATTTGGGCACATGCGCTCTCATTTTATCAGTAAAATGACTAAAGGGGTGAATATTTTAAGAATCCATAGTAAGCATTTTCATAGTTTCAAAATATATGTTGAAACTGATAACTTTCAACGTATCAGTACATGTGAAAAATAATCTGCTTTAGCATTTGTCTTATTCCAATCTGCACTGTTGGCTCAGAGTAGTAGTAGTCAGTAAGGCATCAAGATCTATATGTGATAACATTTTAAATAAGGCCCACTTCAAATTGAATAACAACCACTCCACATGTGTAAAATAATATCCGGACTGTGGGTGGTCTTTACAGGGTCTTGGAGACGGCTTTTGGTGCATATAGAGAATGCAGTGGGATCCCAGTTATGCACACAGAGTCAGAGTATGATAGGTGGTAGAGGTTTATGAGAAAGTTAATGTAATCTATAGCGAGGTTGTGGTGCTTTATTTTTTTAGGTTCTGGTTGGAGCATGTGAGAGCATGGTGGCAGTGTATCTATGATGTGGGACTGGTGCACATCGTGGCTTGTTTATGAAAACTTTGAAGCAGAACTGGCCAAATTCTGAATGTGCTGGTATCACATTTACATCTAAAAATAGAATAGTTTTCATTCAGTCAACCTTTATTTATACAGGTTAGTCTCATTGAGCCTCGAGGGCTCATTTTCAAGAGAGACCTGTTTTAAACAAAGAATGATGACAACAGTAGACAATCATAAAAGAAAGCATATAAATTTAAAAATAAATCAAAGAAAATTATATTAAAAAACAAATCGAAACAGATACATTATAATTATATACATTATAGGTACATTGTAGTTCAATAAAATAAAAGTTCAAATTTTTGTCAATCATTTCAGAAAGTGAAACATATGTTACATAGAGCGAAACATTTCAAACCTTTATTCATTTTCATTTTGATGATTTTGGTTTATAAATAATGAAAAAACAAAATTCAGCATCTCA